AGTATAAATAAAATAAAATGACAATTTAACTGAATAATTAAATATTAATTCCACATAATATGTTTAAGGAACTTAATTTTAATTTTAAATTTAACCTTTTATTATGAAAGTTAATACAACATATAATATATAAATTACAGCTTCTTTAAAATCTGATCCAACTATTACTCAATAAATATTATACCCAATATATGTTCTTTCTGATTCTCCTTTGGTTTAACTTTTAGGAGGAAATAGATAATAATAATATTCTTAAAGCTTTAATCTTGAAGGAAAAGTAGATGACCCTAATTTATCCTCTAGTGAAAAAATTTTATTAAAAGAAACTAATTATGGAATAGATTTAAATTGGTAATGCATAAGTCTAAGTACAGGAGATAAGTGTAGAGATTCATTGAATAATTTAATTGTATCTGAATCTACATAAAACATATAAATTACCATATAAAAGAAAATATTATAGGCTTATTAATAATATTAATTTAAACTATCAGGCACAAAAAATGGAACAACCGTTTTTGATTAAATAATAATATTAATAGTTGATTATGATGTTCCTTCTGTTTATCCTACTATTTCTATTAATAACTCTTAAAATAGAATAAATTTAAATTAAGAAATATTAACTTAATTTGATTATCAAGGGATTAAAAATGCTGATAACTTAATAATTACAGGAGTTATTTCATATTAGTATTATTAAAAGAATATAATATCAATATCTCATAACTAATTTAGATTTTAAGTTTGGGAATTATTATTCGATTTTTTAAGAGAAAATTAAAATTAATTTGAATTAAAATTTTCAATTAGAAATATAGATTTAGTAGTATCTACATTAATTTCTTATACTTTAAATGCTAACGTACCTCCGTAAGATTGTACTTTTTATTAAAATTCAGGTTTTAAAGTTAAAAATCTGTAAGATAAATAAATTCTTTAAATAAATGGATGTATTGATTTTGATTAACCCCTATCTTATTCTTTCTATTTTTATAAAAATTAAGACGATTACAATAACGAAATATAAAATGCCTAATATATTAATAGGCACTTATTATCTGATTTCTCACCAAAGAATAATATTGAAACTGTTTTACCTTTTGGTGTTTCCTTAATTATGGGAATAATATAAGATTCAAAAGGAGGAATAAGAAATATAACTTAATATATTACAGTAAGCTAATATGATTAAGAAAGTTCGTCATATTACACGTTTATAAATAATTGGTTTGCTTAAACTAAATAAAATTATTTAAATGAAAATAAAGTTATAAATTATAATATGATTATTTAAGATATTATTAATCATTCAATTATACTCTAATTGTAAGAAAATACTTAATTTATATAAATATATATTAATCTTTTAAATGAGATTCAGTATTTATAAACCTATTTTTATTAATAAACTAACCCTTTCAACTACTTTTTATAGACACAAATAACATTAAATTCAATATATAATAACTTTCTCAATTAAATCGCACCAAAATTAGGATTTGATAAAATTCAGCAATTAATTAATAATGCTTAATAAATAATAATTGATTAATAAACACTTATTAATAAGAAAAAAGTAATTTCTGAAACAACATCATATGCTAATTATTTTGAATAAATACAAGTTCTTATATTGTAAGCATAAATAATTTAAAATATTCAATAAGTTGATAGAAATTCATTTAATTTTAATTAAAACAAATTATTAGATATGTAATACATATAAATAATGTAAATAATATAGTAAAATTTGAATATGATTTAAATTACAAATGAAAATCCTATAAAAGTTTTAAATATAATTACTTCACAAAAAATAACATTTAAAATTTTAAAAGAAAAGTATTTGACATTAATTTCAGATGTATAAAAAGATGGTATAAATATAGACTAAAACTAAGAAAGTCTAACATACTAGGTAAATTATTTAGAATATCCTTCTTCTATAATTAAATATGATACAAATTTCCCTTACCCTAATAATCATTCTTTTATCATAAATGAAAAGACAATAACCTTTCTTTCAAATTAATAATAAATACCTATTAATATTCCTTTATAAAACGTTTACGTTTTACCTTAAGCAGTAGATGATGTTGATGATTATTTTTGCATATAAAATATTTAAGATAAAGGGATTACTTAAGATTGCTTACTTTTAAATTATAGAAATGATTAAAATAAAATTAATTAATTTATATGTTAATGTAAAACCCAAGGAAAATAAACTCTTGTTAATGACATAAATGGAATATTTAAAAAAACGATTCGTTCAAAAGATTGGTATTTGTATGCTTCTGTGTGGACTTTAGTTATTACTACTATAATTTATATAATTTAATTTTTATATTTATAATAAATTGATAAAATTCAAGACTTATAAATGGAATAAAGCATGATAAAAAGAAATTAAATCAAAGATATTATTTTTAAAAATGATATTACAGATGACATGAGATAATAGTTATTAGCTAATATTTTTAAAAATGATGAATAAATTATAAAAATAGAAAATTAATAACTTGAGAAATATCCAAATTAAAAATTAAGTATTTAAAAAAATATTATTTATAATATTAAAATAAATTTTTATTGATTTATATTTAAGTTAATTTTTAATTTAAATTAATTTTTTATTTAATATTTTATCAAAAAAAATGAAAAAATAATTTGATAAATAAAAATTATTAGATAATTTATTAATAACTAACATAAAATATTTTTTTTATTATAATATATATTTTTAATTTAATTTTTAAGATACTTATGCGTAATTAAAATTGAATAGAAAGTTTTTTTAGAATAATTAACAAATGAAATCCGTGATTTTAAATGAATTATAATATTAAAATATTTCAATAAAAAATGAAAATGATGCATAATCAAATAATATATTAGGTTCTTAGAACATATAATATCAATAATCAAAATAATAACAAAAGTAAATATAATAAAAAATTGAAGCTAATCCATTAGTAAAAAAAAATACTAAGCGTATTAAAAGGTAAATATATCAATTTTAATAAAAGGAAGATAAATAAATAATATAATTTGATAATATAGAAGATTTTATTAAAATTAAGCTTAGTAAATTATCTCGTTAATAATAAGTATAAGTTGGTATATAAAAAATTAAATAAGAAAATGGTATATAACTTAAATTTGATTAGTATAAAGTTTAAAATGAGTAAAATTATTTGGCCAAAACCTAAAATTTTATTTAGATTAAAAGAAAAAAATGTTAAGTTAGACTAAATCGTTTATTAGAAAATAATCTAATAAACGATAAAAACTAAGAATAAAATTATAAGGATAGTGATAAATTAAATTAAAAAGAAAAACATAAAGATGAATCAAATGTAAATAGTAAATAAAATAGCTTTTTATTTGAAATAAAAAATAAATTTTAAAATGATATTTAAGTAAATGATATTAATATCTTTTTTAATAAAAGAATATTTACTTAAGTTATAAGTTTACATGAATTAATTTAAATATTTATTTGCTTTAATTAGTATTTAAGTAGAACTTTTCGATTAACTGAATAATATGTAAAATATATAATACTAGTTACTATTAATTCTATTATATTTAATGATTTAAATATTATATAAAAAATATTTATTAATCTATTATTATTATTAACTATTAATTAATTAATTATTTTAATTGAATGTTTCTATAAATATAATAATAGAATATTTAAATATTTAATTCATTTCTGTTTCTTTTCTATAGTCATAATTTGTTATAGTTATATTTGTATTAATATTTAAAAAAAATTTAATAATTAATATAATAATTGGATTTCTTTTATATTGTAGTAATATTTATTGACGTTTTTATTTATTATATTGTTTCTGCAATTATAAAAAAAGCTAATGAAAAAAATAATATATAGAAAATTTAATATTAGCTAATAATGGATATTAAGAAAATTATTTAATATTTTTAATATAGAAAATTAAATAATGAATATTTATAAAAAAAAATATAGTGTATGAAAAATATTTATGTTATGTTTTTTTGGCTTGTAAAATTAAATTAAATATATAAATATATATATATATAAATATTTATTTATTTATTTATTTATTTATTTATTTATTTTATTTTTATTATTATCTATAATTAATTATATTTTTTCTTTTTTAATTTTTTTTTTATATTTAATTAATTATATTTTTTCTATTTTTTATATATAAATATTTTAATAATTTTTTTTTTTCTAAATTATTTTTAATATATAATATTTTAATATTTCAATTATATTTTACATACTCAATATATTTTAAATTTTATATTATTAAATAATACAAATAAATAGGTATTTATATATATTAAAAATATACCATTATTACATATATATAATTAACAAAATAAAATTTTTTATATTATTTTTGTTAATAATAAAATAATGTTCATACTCTATATTTTTTTTTATAAATATTCATTATTTTATTTTCTATATTAAAAATATTAAATAATAATATTTTTAACCATATCGTTTTTTCATAAAATTTTTTTTTTGTTAATTATTGTATTAACTACTATTGAATAAAGGCAGAAGTAATTTAATACATAAAAATATCAAAAAATATAGCCATAAAATAAAAAGATAACCAATAATTATATTAATTATAGAATTTCTATTAAATATTAATATAAATATAGTAATAACAAATTGTGGCTATAAAAACTAACAAGATGCAAGATAAAAATTTTAAGATTTTATATTTTTATTTATAAACACTTTCTGTTAAAATATTGAATAAATTAATAATTAATAATAACAATAGATTAAAAAATATATTTTAGTTTAACTTCATATCATTAAATATAATAGAATTAGCTGTAATAAGTATTATGTATTTTATATATTATAAAGTTATTCTAAAAGTTCTACTTAAATATTAATTAAAGCAAATAAATATTTAAATTAATTCATGTAAACCAATAACCGTATAAAATTTACTTTTATTTGAAAAGATATAAAGTTAATTTACTTAATTATCATTATAAATTTAATTATGTTTAAAGAATAAAAAGTTAATTTATTTATTAATTACATTTGATTCAACTTTATATTATTATTATTATTATTATTATTATTATTATTATTATTATTATTATTATTTTGTTATTTAATCTATTTCTATATCTTATTAATTATATATATCATAATTTTTTAAGTTTTTTTCGTAGTCTTTGTCGTTTATTATATTTTTATCTAATTAGTTTTATAGACTTACCAATCGATTCAAACTAACTTCACGTTTTTTTCTTTTAATTTAAACATTATTTTTGCTTTTAGACAAATTATTTTCCGCATCTTGATCTTTTTACTAATCGTTTTAAGGTTATCTGACATTTTCATAGTTAATATTTTATATACCAACTTTAACCTTTTATTAATTAGATAATTTATTAAGTTTAATTTTAATAAAATCTTCTATATTATCTAATTATATCATTTATTTATCTTCTTTTTATTAAAATTGATATATTTATCTTGTAATAAGCTTAGTATTTCTTTTTATTAATCTATTAGATTCTATTGTTTATTATGTATACGTTTGCTATTATTCTGGTTATTACTATTATAGGTTCTAAGAACCTAATATATAATTTTGCTTTGTATCATTTTCATTTTTTATTTCAATATTTTAAAATTATAATTCATTTAAAATCACGGAATTTATTTCTTAATTACTCTAAAAAAACTCTTTATTGCATTTTAATTTAGCATAAGTACCTTAAAAATTAAATTATAATAAATATATTATAATAAAAAAATATTTTATATAAGTTGTAAATAATTATTATTTATCAAATTATTTTTTCATTTTTTTTGATAAAAATATTAAATTAAATAAAAAATTAACTTAAATATAAATCAATAAAAATTTATTTTTATATTATAAATAATATTTTTTTTAAATACTTAATTTTTAATTTGGATTTT